GCTGCTCCAAGTGGGGAAGGTTTGTAGTCCTGTACTGTATCATGGATAGGCCAGGGCATCCCAAACCCCCACAGTCAAGTGAGGTGAATCTCACTATATATATCTTAGCAGTATCTTGTATCTCTGCTCCCCTGACTGCTGCAAACACTTCTATCAGCATCATATCTTCTAGGATTGTGTCTACTTGAATTTGCCTCTGGAGATCAAACAGTCGTTCCTTAGTCAGTCAGAATTTATTCATAGTTGCTGTAAATAAAAAATTGGGGGAAATATATACAGTAGGAAACAATCATGCTAAAATTCATTCCTTCTTCCCTTTGAGATTCTTGGAAGCAACAGTGTGAGCCAGGAAGGCGGATACATTTGAGATAAAGAAGAAAAGGGACATATAGAGAATTGTTCAGCAGAGGGTTTGCAGTTATCTAGAAGTGACTGCTAGGCAATCTGTACCTTGTCAGAAAAGTGATCAAAAGGCCTCATTTGGTGTGATGACCTACTACAATCAGGAAGACCTGTGAAAGCTGGGAAGGCCTTGGAGCACATATGGTAGCTGTGACACGAGAGGCTGCATGTCCACAGAAAGTTAAGAACCCCCCTGGACCACTGCCACACCCTTGAGTTCCACTCTATCCAAATCCCACACTTTCACCCCTAAGGGGCGTGGGCCAACTCCTCCATACATACAAAACAACAGATGTGTGTGTACAGGGCAAAGTTTCTGAGCAGTGCCTGCGCATCTAGCTGGGAGGTGACTAGACAGAGAGTCCAGAGCAGGAAGGGATCTGTGTTTAGTATGGTACTGTAGCCAGAGCCTGACTTCTCAGCTGCTTGCTGGTACTCCAGACATCTTTCTCACTGATGCATGGTCATTCCCTCATGGGCCAAGAGTACCTGCACCGGTTTTACCAGCCCTTCCTCAATCCCAGTTGTATTCTCTATAACTGTGTTTCTGCTGGAGAAGCTTGACCTCTACATCCGGGGCCTCTGCCTCACACTGCAGTTCTTCTCTGGTCATTCACAGTTGAGAAAGACTTGTCTGAGTAGTTATGATTTTGGTAGCACATGCTTTTTCTAGTCATTTGGTTAAATCTGCAGACCCAGACAGGAGCTGGTACTAGGCCCAAGAAAATGCAAATTAGAAAAATAATGTCTGAGAATGTAAGCTCTTGTCATGTTTCAGCTTCTCACAGAGGGTTCATGGGTGAGGCAGAGGTTTTGCAGTACTTCAGGCCCTTCTCATCCTTTATAAGGGCAGCAGCAGGGTGAAGAGGTCAATAGAAGGCTGCCAATGAATTGAGTTCTGTGAAATTTATATTTCCTTTCTGGGGTAATGGTGATCAGCTGGGAATTTTGGCAAAACTTTTTGTGGATTTGTCTTGTGGAGTTAAAACATTGCAGGATTTTTGCCTTCTTGGCTCTGGTTTCCTCTTTTCTTGCCAGATGTCATTATAAGAATTCAAGAAGGATGAGTAATTAAAACCCATGCAAAGAATGTGTTTGACAATTAAACTCAAATATCTGCCTGATAAGGCGACGTGGGTGACTGACCGCAGAGCTCCCGGAGCTGATACCCTGTGACGGCAGGAGGGACCCAGGGGGCTCACACCACTCCTGGGGACCCTCCGAGAAGGGGCTTGGGGACCCGGACACTGGGGACAAAGAGCCTGGCGCCGTCGGGGCCGCAGAGGTGCCACCGCCGCACCCCCGAAGCGGGGTGAGGGTACGGCAGCCCCTGAGCAGCCCGCAGTGCCAGGGCACGGCGAATGAAAACATGGAATAAGGGGGGAAAAAAATATGGTTTATTTCCAGAAATACACGAAAACAGCAGTAAAATAACAGAAAGGCCGGTGACGCCCCACAGGGTGCCCCGGGGCGGCGGCCCGCGGGGGAAGCTGCGCGGAGGGCCGGGGCCGGCCCAGCCGGGGAGGGGCGGTGCGGCACAGTGCGGTGCGGTGCGGTGCGGCGGGGGCCCCGAGGCCGCGGGCGAGCAGGGGCGGCGGCGGCGGCACCGCCGGGAGCGCTGCGGAGCGGAGCGCAGGGAACACGGATCGGCGGGACCCAGCGGCAGGATCCACCTGCGGGAGGCGCCGCTCCGCCCCGCCCCGCCCCGCTCGGAGCGCGCCGCCGAGGGCCGGCGCCCGGCGGGAGGGAGGGGAGGCGCCCCCGAGCCCCGCGGAGGCGGCGGGAGGGATGGGACCGGCACCGGCCCCGCCACCTGCCTGAGCCGCTCCCGGAGACGCCGCCGCCGCCTCGGGGAGCTGGTAGGTAGCGGGTCCCCACGGCCGGGAGGGCGCCGCGGGGTGCGGGTCGCCCCGGGGGACAAAGGGGCGGTGGGGAGGATGGCGAGCGCTGCTCTCGCCCCACCGTGCCCCGGCCGGCCCCTCACCTGCCGGCGGGCGCAGGTCCGGGGGCACACGGCGGTGCGGGGACCGGGCGGCGGGAGCCGCTGTCCCGGCCGCGGCGAGCCCTCCCTCCCCGCGGGGCTTAATGTTTAACCCCGCTCGCATCCACCGGAGCGCACCCGGCGCCGCCTCCCCGGCGGCTGCGGCCACAAAAGGGAGAACGCGGCTCTCCACGCCGGTCCCCGCGGCGGGTCCGCCGGCGCCGCTGCCGGGTACCAACTCTGAAAGGACGGCGAGTGACTGAACAGCTGGTAAAAAATTCTCCTTTGCTGCGTTTCACGCTTGGGAGGCGTCAGGAGTAGTGCCCTGCTGCGGTACTCTACTTCGATTCATCGCGCCGTGACTGAGAACATTAGTATTTTGGGGCGGCTTTTTTTAAAGGAATACACGACACGAGCTCTTCAGTGAAGTGGTTGCTGGAGCTTGGGGCAGTTGTTCGCCTCCTGACCCAAGCGGGAGCCGAGGGTTCGGTGAGATCCCGCCAGGATTCCGCTTGCGCGGCTGCCCCGTCACTCGGGTGGTTTGGTAGTCCTGGGGATGCAGGTCCTTCCCGCAGCTTATCCCGTTGTTCTAACTGACCGTCACTGTCCGCCTGTAACGCAGTTCGCTCTGGTACCGTGAAACCAAAGCTGCTTGACATGCAAGAAAAGAGGGAGAAGAAAGAAAGGAGGGTGAAAGGAGGCAGTCAGATTATTCTATAGGAATTGGACTGAGAAACATGTACAATTCTCCCTTTCCACTGTGTGTCCATGTCACTGACACACTTGTCAAAATACCTGCTGTGCCCGATGTATTTGTTAATAGACACACCCTTGGCCTTCCACTAGCAAAGTCCGTTTCACGTTTTCCTAGAGATCTGATCCTACAGCCCTCAGTCAAGCAGGTAAGGCAGTATAACCCTCACACACCTCTCAGCATTGCAGGCAGGTTAATAGAGATGTTAGAAGGCAGTAAGGCTTCCTTCGGTACAACTCAATTATTTTTGCTATGTTTTAACAAGTTCTGTGACCAAGAAAAGCAGAAGAGGTATTTTGGCACAGCACTGACAGTGATTTAGTTCTCTTTTATAATTTGGTTTGAGGCAGGTTTTTCTCTCTTGCTGTCTTGGTTTCCTTTCTTCATTTTTTTGCTATGTTAATCATTCTGGCTTCTAGCACAGTGGAAAAACTTTCTTCATTTCAAAATGTAATGGAGACTGTTTGGTTCACAGGCTTTCATACTGGATTACTCAAGATTTATTGTTATTTAACCATCTATTACAAGAGCCACCCCTGAAGTAGTGAACTCTTGCAGAAAAATTACTTGCTTATTAGAAAATGATGCATGTCCATCCTGAACAAGGCAGTTTTCTTTCACCAACATCCATCTCGGGGCATGAGTGCCCACAGTAAGCAGGAAAATGTGTCTGTAAAGTATTTTAGTGGCGTGGGGAGCCCTGGGGTAGCTGTCACTGTTTCCATTCTCTAAACAATTTTAATGCCATTAGCGAGTGTGATTATGTACAAACCGCTTCTAGGGGGTTCCTAGGCTGGATGTCAGAGCAGGGCTTTGTACTGAGTCAAAGGGTGGATTGAGTTTATGACACAGTTTAAATAGAAACAGAAGAGCAGTACTACAGTAGGGCAGCACATCGTAACTCATTCAGTATTGCTCTGTGATAGCTGTGCAGCGAAGTCTCTTCTTACCAGTTTGTTTGATTTGAGAACACCTTTTAGGGTCACCCACAAGTAAGTAGATGAACATAGAGAGTTTTAACCTTAGCTTTCTTTGCAGCTTTTTGGTTTTGTTTTAAACAAAAAGGAAAAGAGAAAGTAAAAAGGAAAGAAGAACCTTACTGGAAGGTCACTCTTTAATTATAGACTGCTTTTTCAATTCCTTCATTTTTCTGCTTTATTGTTTTTTAAAGAGAAAGAATCTACACAGAAAGAGGTGCTTTGAACTAAGTTGCATTTTGTTGTAAGTAAGACATATTTATTTATTGCTGTCCAGAGCTGATTTAGTACTAGTTATTACGTCTCCAGATGAGATATAATTATTAAAGTTTTGGTAAATGCCTTGGTTCGTGAGCACTGTTTAGCTTCTGTATTCAGGTGTAAACCCACAAGTCTATTTTATTGTTAGGTTTTAATAACATTTTAAAAGTCCTGTAACTGATGTAAAGGCTTTTTTATCCCATATAGCTGCAATGTGATTATAGCACAGAAGCAGCAGGGGAGAGGTGTGGGAAGGTTTGCCCAGAGACATAAAGTGGAGTAAGTACCGCTTTGCACACCACAGCACAGACACAAATACCATCTTCTGAAGCCTTTTGGGGGAACCAACTCGAGTGCCAGCTCCTGTCTTGTTCTCTTCATAGGGCGGCTGCCCTCTGCTGTCTAAATCTGCCTTTCCAGTGCTGGCATTGCTGTGGTGGTGATAGTGGGGAGATAAGGGAGGGCAGGTTGCAGGGAGAGGTAGTCTCTCTTCTCGGCCCAGAGGATAATCCTGAAGGAAGCAGAGAAGCTTTTGGGCACACAGTCTCTTTATCAGGTCACTGTGGTGACGGGCACGAGGGAATCTTGCTGCTTGTGCAGTTAATGACTGACAAGATGTTTCTAATTTTCCCTTGCCAGCTAAATAAACCAGCCGAAAGCCAGCATTGGCTCAGTTAGCATGAATGGGGTTTAGACCCAAGAAATGGCATAAGTGGTGCAGTTTAGAGAGATTCCATCTATATTGGGAAAGCTTCAAATGTGATTTGTGGGAATAACTTTAATATGAAGCAGGTGAGAGCAAACTGCTTAGAAATATGTGCTCTTAATGACGGGAATGGGTACCTGATGCACAGCATAACTGTGGTTCAGCCCGGTCTCAGCTTCTAACTATGAATCCAGTAAACATTGCTGCATGCAGCCCTTACTGACACAAGTAGGACAGTTAACAGTTGACTTATGCCAGTGTATATTGTTGTGGGGATGAAGTGCTATCGTTTGTCCCTGTTACCTTCTTTTTCTATGTCTTCCCAATCACTGCTATACAAGCATATTTGGTAATAGAGCAGGTGTTCCCTGTGCGATCCTTATACCAATGTCAAACTCTCTCATTTCATAACTTGCAAAATGCAGCCACATCAAGTATACATCTTTGCTGTCAGAGGAGCTGGTGGTTTTCCTTGAATACCAAGTATTTTCTAATTTTGGGACATCCAAAATTACTCAGTTCTGGTTCATGTTTAAAATGGCTTGTATTTTCCATCATGACTCGCCTCTTAGGTGTAATGCAACACATTCTATAAAGCTTAACCTAGAAGAAAATATGTTCCTTTAAAATTGTCCTGTTTGTTAATGAAAAAGTTGCCAACAAAAGGTGTGATCACTTCTGGAAGAGTCAGTACCTGCCTCTGTGGGTATCGGTAACATCAGCTCTGTTCACCTGGATATGTTTTTGGGAATGAAAATATTTTAATATCCTACATGAATCAATTTGTATTTTGAACGTTGTGTGCTTTAATGATAGCCTCTATTCCCAAAGAGGATGCTACCAAAATTCTAAGGTTCTAGGCCCAGTATTTGAGTTGGACACCTTTGGACTTTCAGCAGTCTGTAGCTTCCAAAGTTTTTTTTCCTACAAAAAGCATTGGAGAGAAGGATTTTTCTTTTTTATTCTTAGATAGCTGTGGTTATTTCCTGCATGATTTGCTTTGGTTTACTCATTTGAGGCATTTCAGGAATGATCCTGCAGTTGTGATCAGTGTAACCTCAGCAGGGTTTAAAATATGTGTAAGCTCAACATAATTGTGAAGTTTTGTTTGAATAATCTTTGTGTGAGGGAGATCCTGCCTGCCTTCTTGCCCAGGGCACAATGCCTCCTGCAGCGATTCAGCTGTATGGCTAATTTTCAAATAAACTAACGTTACACATTTTCTTGACACGGTACTGGTGCACGCTGTTCTCTGCAGTCTGAGGCGCTCTGCCTGCGGTTCATAAACACATTTACAGTCCTGTTTGCCTCCCTGTGCTCAGAGGGGGTTGGTTTGCATTTCTAATTAATTGAGTTTATAAAGCAATAAGCCAGTATGTTAACTGAAAATTCCCTCAGGAATTGTAATCTTCCTTCATTAGCTGCCCCTGTGTAATTGAATCACCCTTTCTCATGTCAGCCTAGGGGAGAGTGAATGCTACATGGAGCAGAAACCTTCCTCTGGTGTGAGTTGCAACGGGAAGCGAGTCTCCCATGTGGTCGTGTTCTGCAACCCAGCCCTTGTCAGGTCACCTTCTTTGTCCACCCACCTGTCCCTGCCATTAGCTTGATGCCTCTGACTGAGACAGCAAATGGTGCGAAGAGATTTTAGGACCTCTTTCAGCAGAGTCAGAGAGTAGGGGGGAGCTTTCAGAGAATGCTCTAATCTAGCGTAGGGCAGACTCAGTTACTCTTTGCAGGAGCTCTGGTTTCTGAGTGCAGGGATTTGCATGGAGTCTGAATTTTCTTTACACCAGTGAAGACAAATACTGTAACTTCCCCTCATGTCAGCTGAGAGTTGGTGGCTCACAGGGTTAAATGCCCTGTATTTCAGTGTTAACCTGGGACACTTGTTTCAAGGTACAGGTTAAGGCATTAGTTTAACACTGAGAAATCTGAGCTACTTAATGTAAGTTAACTCCATTCAAATCACTTGACCCTTATTATATTTGTTCTCGGTTAGCAAGCCATTACTTAGCAAGGTAGGTTAATCTTCCAATATGTTTGGGTGAATAACTGTACTTCCTTTTACTTTCCACAGACGGGCATTCAGAATGGCAGGCTTGTCCACTTTAATCCTCCTTTTGTGTGCTGCTAAAGATGTGATGCCCTCCAGTTCTCACTGGAAGCCAACTTGGCCGTCTTACAGAGTTCCTGTTATCCTGCCGCAGTCTACCTTGAACTTGGACAAACCACAGTTTGATGCTGAAGCCAGACTGGAAGTGGTGTCTCCCTGTGGCCCAGCGTGCCACAAAAGTTCTCCGCTGCCAACTTATGAAGAAGTGAAGCACTACCTGTCCTATGAAACGTTGTATGCTAATGGTAGCCTCACTGAGACTGAAGTGGGCATATATATTCTGAGCAACAGCGCTGATGGGTCTCAAGGCAAATCTCGAACTAAGAGGCAGATCTATGGCTATGACAGCAGGTTTAGCATTTTTGGGAAAGACTTCTTGTTGAATTACCCGTTCTCCACATCGGTGAAGCTGTCTACAGGTTGCACGGGGACTCTGGTGGCCGAAAAGCATGTTCTTACTGCAGCTCATTGCATCCATGATGGCAAGAGTTACGTCAAAGGCGCTCAGAAACTGCGGGTGGGGTTCCTAAAGCCCAAACATAAAGATGGCAGCAAAGGGGCCAATATCACCAACTCAGCAATGCCTGAGAAAATGAAATTCCAGTGGATTCGTGTGAAACGGACGCATGTCCCCAAAGGATGGATCAAAGGCAATGCCAATGACATTGGCATGGATTATGACTATGCCCTGCTGGAGCTGAAGAAGCCACATAAAAGAAAGTTTATGAAGATAGGTGTGAGCCCACCGGCCAGACACTTGCCTGGAGGGAGGATTCACTTCTCTGGCTATGACAATGATCGTCCGGGAAACCTGGTTTACCGTTTCTGTGATGTCAAAGATGAAACATACGACCTGTTGTACCAGCAGTGCGATGCCCAACCGGGTGCAAGTGGCTCTGGGGTGTATGTGAGGATGTGGAAGAGGCAGAATCACAAGTGGGAGCGTAAAATTATTGGTATATTTTCAGGCCATCAGTGGGTGGACATGAATGGCACCCCACAGGATTTCAATGTAGCTGTTCGCATCACACCCCTCAAATACGCACAGATCTGTTACTGGATCAAAGGCAACTACCTTGACTGCAGGGAAGGATAAAGACAATGAGACTCCTTGAAAGCACTTAATGACTGGTTTTAATTGCTCATCTGAGGAAAGACTTTGTGCTGCAAATGTGTGTGATGTGATCATGTAACATTGGGAGGTGATATGTAGCTTTTCAAGCCAGCCACCTTGTTCTTAGGACAGGGACTGTGTGGTGCTATCATTACAGCTTGAAACTGGGGAGAAAAGACGTCTGCTGGGTGGGGAAGGAGCAGGTGGACTTGTTGAATTTGCAGCTGAGCAACTGAAGATTAATTAGGGGCGGATCAGTAAACAGTATGAAAACAGAACCGTCTCCAAAGAATCTTGTAAAAGGGACACTGTTGACTATCTCATGCCTACAATGTTTGTTTTAATAAATCCTAGGATTAGTAGAAATGCTTTGATCTGAACTTTTAAAAGAAAATATTTCTATGCTGTTGGGGGCTGAAGAGGGGCATTTAATGGTGTTTGCAACCCAAACATTAAAGCTTTGTGTTCCTGCTTGAGAAAAGGGAGTGTGAAAAGGGCGAGATGAATGCCACACAAATAGCGTGAAGGGTAAATAACCACATAACACTTCTAACTTCCTTTTGGTCTGAGTAATTTGAGACTATATTAGTAACACAGTTAAGAAAAATGGTTTTTGAGCAAACAGACCTTGATGTTGCAAAGATTTGACTGTGAAGATGATGTTGGTCATATGAACAGTGCCATTGCGTCCTGCTTTGGGAAACACAAATTGCACATGGGATTAAATCTATAGGAGCTGGGGCATAGCCTTACACCTAGGAGGATCCCTATGAATATGCTATTATAGAAAGCGTGTGGGGACAGAAGCTTTTCTGTTTATGACCTACTTAGATCTTTAAAGGAAAATCTCATGTCAGCAGCTCAGATTTTCAGAGGGGAAGCCTATCTTCGGTCTTGCTGGCCATCTGAACTGCTGTCTGCAGAGCATGTAAAGGAGAGAGCAGGACAAGGGTCCTACTGAGTTTTCCCCATTTGTTGAAGATCCTTGCTGTTTTACCTAATAATACACCAGGTGGGGGACCCTAGATTTAGAAGTGTCTCTCAGCCATATCCCTTTGACACGTAATTTGTACGGCATCTTGATTTACGTTTCTTGTGTTGTTTGGGGTAGGAATCCTCCTCCCCATCAAACTGTTAAGTTACAAATAATTCTTGGCAAATGCACAGTTCAGTCAATCTGCAGCTGGAACAGAGCCACGTTGTAGGATGCAGCCTTAGTTTGCTGTGAAGTGATCCTCTGCTGTCTCTTATAGATAGCAGTGACTTACATTTTTGCTGTAGCAGAATTAAAGTTTAAAACAAGAACTGTCTGTAATAGGTAAAATCTGTGCAGCCAAATACCGCAGCTCAGCAAACAGCATTGGGAAGTCAACGTGGTCTATAATAAACAGTGTTTCTCTGGTGGATTGTGCCACTGTGTTGCAGTAACCTGGTTAAGTACATGCCTTCATGCCAATATTATTTTTTTAAATAGGAGGATAGACACTGGCTCCCGTTCCAGTTTCCCTTTTACCCATCTCTCATGTGCCTCCTGAAGCTTATCAAGTTGCCTGTGGTGCTTAGTGTTGTGGGGCAAATGCAAGTCCTTGCTGTGAAATGGCAAAGCTGGGAAGGAAAGAATCTAAGCAGAGCTTCCCTATGCTATACAAATATAAGGAAGACGTTAATTCAGCAAAGCCTTTTTTACACTCTACTAATTAATGTGGCATTTGTAAACATATGCCTGATGGTGCTTTATCTTTGTGGTGGCTTTGGCTCTAGTTCTGAAAAACATTTTTGCTAGAGCTGCCTATGATTATTATTTTTATAGAAGCAGCATAAAAAACATGGACCCTCGTGGGCTTTTGGTGCACTCAGATACAAGCAGTTAACTAATGCTTTGAAATATGAATAATCACCATATGTATCTGATGGTCTTTTTCTGCCTTTTTATTTTAATTTCCTTTATTCTATGGCTGTTATCTGGAGCACTTTTGTTTGAATGTATCACAGTGAATAAAGAAAAGTTATGGAACTTCAATGAAGACATTCTTGTATTTGTACTATACTGGGTTGCACTTTCAATATCATTTCAGTGACTTACCTGTAAAGACAGATACAGATTCATTAAAATCCTCCGTGCTGTTTATTTTTCCTTCGATTTTCTTTTGCTCCCATCTGTTAGGGATTTTTGTTTTGGTGGCGTTTTTTTGTTTTGTTTTTTGGTAGGCTTAATTACTTTGTGCCTTTGGATGGTAATAATCAATCTTAGCGGTTGCAGATTCAGAGCCAGTCATGAGCTCTGATTAGTTAGAGCTGAAAATAACCTATTAGACTAAAAAGCCACATTGTTTTTATGAACTTTAGGGTAAATAAACTCTGGAGGAATTTGACCCAGTCAGTATAAGGTCATAAGTGAGATCGGTCCATCTTCTTTTAGTTGATGCAGTATGAAAAAAGTTCCTCTGAGGCTAACAGTGAGCCCCACAGTTTTTAGAGAAAAGCTGTATGAAGAAATTTTTTTCATTTTGAAATTGATACCCATACAACTTTCCTGACATCTGGGTGTGCACACTACATCATTTGGGCTTGAGAACATCAGTCCTGATTTATTGGACATATTTCCCACCCACTGATTCTGTGTTCTCAACTACTCTCTTGGAGTGTAGGCTGAGAACTTTTCATAGAATCACAGAACCAATTACCTTGGAAAAGATCTTAAAGATCATCAAGGCCAACTTTAAACATTGTCTGATTGACCACTAAGCCTTGTTCCTAAGTGTCACATCTACATGTCTTTTAAAAACCTCCAGGAATGGCAACTCCCCTGCTTCCCTGGGCACTCTGTTCCAGTGCTTGACGACCCATTCTGTGGAGAAATTTTTCTTCATATCTGATCTAAACCTCCCATGGCACAAATTGAGGCCATTTCCTCTAGAGTAATGGGAGTAAGGTGGTTTTTGGGGTTTTTGAGTTTTTTTTGTTTGTTTGTTTTTGTTTTTTTTTGTTTTTTTTTTTTTTTAAATATGCAGGAAGTTTAGTGTAATCAGGAGTGGGAGAGTCCCTTTCCATCGTACACCCTGCGCAAACATTCCATATTGTTTTGGAAAGAAAAGGAAATCTCAGATAATGTAGGCAGAATTGTGCTGAAGTTCAGCATAGTTTCACCTCTGCCTGCTGGAGTTGGTGGTAATTTTGCCAGTGTATTCATTCCAAGTGGGCCTTGCTAGGCAGGTTTGGGAATCGCATCCTGAGAATAGTTGCTTTCATGCTGCAAAGAGGGCACCTTTAAAACCAGAATTTCAATCTGTGAGAAAGAGAGCCACGCAGTCAAAATGATGCTCATCAAGGAAACACAAGTAGCTAAATTATGTACAGACATCTCACTTGAAATTTCAGTGTCCAACTGGTGACTGCCAATGACCTGCAGAACTGAGTGAAATGCCTCATTATTCTTGTATCTGAAGGCTAGGCAGTAGATGGATATTGAGGGGCTGTTTTGGCCGTGAATGGAAAGGATTAAAATCTGCTCCTGCGTCTGTAAGAGGCTGACATAGGAAGAATTTTACTTCATTGGAGAACAGTGCTGGAAATGGAAACTGAGGTCTCGAGAAAACACAGACCCCGCCGAGCTCTTCCCCAGCGCACAGTGAACTTAACCTACTGAAGGCTGCAGAATATCATCAAGTTTCTTTCTCAGAGGAAAGATGTTTGCCTTGCATCTGTAATTGTTTTGCAACTGAATTCCCAGGCCTGCCTGTTTAGACAGGAGCCCTCATCTTAAAGTTGCACGCTGAACCCCAAGCAAGTAGAACACATGCTTGAAATTCTTTTCTGTGTTTCCACTTAATCTGCCATTTGTTAGCGGGCTTTGGTAGCGTGCCAAGGCAATATGTACAGGCCTTGAGAAGAGAAGCTTTCAATGAGTGGGTAAAGTGTGTTGGGTAAAATGTTCTCTGCTTTCCAGGAGTAAAAAGGAAGCGTGGACAGAGAAAAGCAGCAGAGAAGGGCAATGTGATTTGTGTCAGAGGAGCAGGATTCCTACTGGATTGGTTGCTGTGTATATATGGACACGTGTGGATGTGCATGTGTTTAGGGCTTTTATAAATAATAGCGTTTGTTTCCATTCCTTGTTCTACTAGGTACAGAAGAAAAACTTCAAGAGGTGAAGTAAATTAAGTCTCTCCAAATGAGTATCTCTCCCAATGCCAACTCTGAAGCCAGTGTGCAACACAGAGGAGAAGTTTAGACCGTCGCTTGTCTAATAAGTACACAAGAGAAGAGTGACAGTGAAATAAGATCAGGTGATCTTTTCCTCCCAGAAGATGTTTTTCCCTGTCTCACATGGTGACTGTGAGGCTGCACGTGCTTTGTGCCTGCTGGCAAAGGTGGTGTGCGCTTTTATAGGTAAATGATTATACAGGGGAGGAGAAACATCTTAACATGCTCCAGACACTATTATCAACACTTGATTATTCCCACGATAAAATTATCGGTGGTGCTTTTGGTGTGGATTGATTTTTAACTAAATGGGCATAGGTTGAGCCATGAAGCAGGCTTATGCTGCTTTTTTTATCTGAAGATCTCTAATAGTAATTAAATACTTGTGGCTCAAGGGCAGATGGTGTATGTTCATCTTTAAACTTAATGGACAATGTTTGGTTTGGTTTTGTTTTGTTTTTTACGATAAATTCCATTTTAAAAGATACGTATGCATCAGCAGAGATCTACAAGAAGTTAAACACTTCTATTAGCTCACCAAGCAAATAATCATGAAATAAAATACTCCATTTAAATAGCATATGTAATGAAAATATCTGATACATGTTAACTGACGTTTGCTTGATTGCAGTCATTTCAGTTTTGGAAATTCATGCTGATTTGGTGAGGACCAAATCCAACAGTAGAGTGTTCAAGACTTTTGATTGGGATTATGGAGGTTGTTAGTTCATACAGGAGTGACAGCAGTAATAAATAGGAGTAATAAGTAGAAAAGTATAATATTTTGTTTCTGCTTATCCTGAACAGCTTCCTCTAACCGTTCTATGCTACATTATCCTAGATTTGATGATTTTCCAGAGGTTGCATACATTAAAAAGTTAATTTAATGATGATTTAGATTAGTTTTTTGCATCCCTTTGCCTTTGAAGCCAGATGTGTTTACTGCTTTGACACATCAGAAGACCAGAAAAATGTTCACATTTGCAAAAGTTTGGTCAAGGTTCATCTAAAGTAAAGTCTGGTTTCTGAGCTGAAGTTGAGGAAGGGCAAGAAAAATTGGGATTGTTCATCCTGGAAAAGAGAAGGGTTTTGGGTGGCATTACTGTGGCCTTCTAGTACCTGAAGGGAGTCTACAAGAAAGGTGGAGAGAGACTACAAGAACATGTAGGGATAGGACAAGTGGGAACGGCTTCAAATGAAAAGAGATTTGGTTTAGATTGGATATTAAGAAAGTATTCTTTACTGTGAAGGTGGTGAGGCACTGGAACAGGTTGCCCAGAGAAATTATGGATGCCCCATCCCTGGAAGTGTTGAAGGCCAGGTTGGATGGGGCTCTGAGCAAGCTGATCTAGTGGAAGGTGTTCCTGCTCATGGCTGGGGGTTTGGAACTAGATGATTTTTAGGTTCTTTCCAACCCAAACTATTGTATGATTTTATGATGATATATTTGTCATCATACAGAAAGGGGTACATTTAAGTGGGGTGTTTTAGATGAGTTTGAACCTGAGCTAGTTAGAAAACAGTTCCCTTTAGCTGTTTTCCCAGTTTATCCTTTTTCTGTTCCTGCCCATCCTTGGAAAATAAAGTTTCCTGTGATGAAGAAGAATGGAGATCCTTAAAAATGAAGGGATAAGGTGCACTCAAGAAAACCTGTTCAACTGGTAAGTTTGTGCTTTCCTGCTGTTTGGCTGTTCTGGTCATTCTGGGACAGGGAGGTCACACTTGCTTTGACCAAAAATTTCCGCCTAGGTCAAAGAATCCTTTCTGATAAAAATGCTTTTGAAATCAGGATGTTTCAACAAAGGTTTGGTTTCTATTAATTGCCATTCATAGAAAACACTCTTTCTCTAATGAATTTCCAATCATTCCCTGCTTCAGTTAATTTTTCCTCCTGTGTTCTGGTCCCCATGGAAATGAGGATTATGTCCCATGCTTGGAAGATGACCTTATATCTTATCAACAACATTTAACAAAATTCTCTTGTCTAAAAGTCTTGTTTTTCCTGAATTAATTACAAGTTTGTCTGCTCTGAATGGAGGACACGGGGACTTGTTTCATTGTTGGTGGGCCAAGGAGGATGTGAGGAGGTTCTCACCACTGCAGCAAAAGGTCAGCCGACCGTGGGACCAGAGCTTACAGAAACAGGTGGAGCCACAGGGGTTTTCTGGCCTCCACTGTCTCACAAAAGCTTCACTCAGCAAAGAAGCGTGGGGTGGAAGAAAATGTCACACTGGGCTTCATCCTGCACCCACCAAGGCTGCTATTGTGTTGGGTGGGAGCAGGACTGGTGCGCCAAGGGATTTGCCACATGGCTTAAATGTCACCATTCGTGTGGGAGCACTTCTCTCCAGCCAGCCCTTCTGAGGGATCATTGTGGGCAATGAAAGGGCAGGAAAGACTTTTCCAGAGTGTGTGGGTGGCAGAAAAGCAACCCTTCATGCTGGGAACACACCAGATGTGCAAAAAACTCTGGAAAGTCATTTCCCTGAGGTAAAGAGCTAGATTGATTGAGCTCTACGGGTGGAAGGAGGGCAGCTTTGCTTAACAGGTCCCCTCCCCACGCCCAGAGATATCTCTGGAAACAGATGAGGAGGAGAGGGATTGCCACCCTCTCACCTTTAAGGATGAACCACTCAATACCTGCCACCTGCCTCCTGTGGGAAGTACTTATCTAATGGGAAGATTGATAAAAACTGAGAGAAAAACTTGAAAGAAGCTGAGAGGTGTTCAGTCTGTGGTACCACTTAAATAACTTATTACAAACAGGTACCTAGAAATAATCTTTTTTTTTTTTTTTTTTTTTTTAAGTACCTGTGGCCA